GTCTACCACACGCGGGTTTTCTAATATGTCTACGCAAACGACTCAAGATTCTTTCCTTCCTAAACAGGAAAACTTCCGACTCCAAGTGTAAGCAATATAATCTTTTCGGATGATCTTCGCCGAAGAATATTAAAGATACTCGACGAATCAGTCTCCAGAACAATAGTGATTCAATTCATCCTTATCAAAAACTTGCTTATAAATTTATACGCATCTTTCGGTATTTTTCCAAAAGCCAATTACCTGCGGAACAGTTTTTATCGAGCGAAGGATGTTGCGTATAGTTTCCGGTTACAGGGGCTGTACCCGGACGTTGGAAATAAATTACGATGCATCCGTATCTATTTGTTAAGTAGATCCTGGAAAGCAAATAACTGCAATCCACAGAAACCAGAAAACATATTTTCGGACTGCCAACACGGGTTCCGGAAAAGAAGATCACTCGCGACATATTTTCAACAATCTCTCCAGAGCTGTGTCACGAGTCTTGTCCAAAAAAAACAGATCCTGCTGCGGTCGAGAGTGGAGTTCTCGAGAGTTCAGTGCGGAGATCAATGTGGTTCCTTATGTACGTGGAAGGGTTCGTAAGAGATTTCGACGGCGAATCAGCAATCCCTGATCTCTACATGAAATGTTGGAGTGTATTCGTGGGCCTGCCGACGCAGTTAGGTTATAGATCAAACTAAATTGCTCGTTTGCTTCGTCAAATAGTTTGCTCATGCGGTTCAGCGTCGCTAACTGTATCACAATTCGTCTGAAGTACCTAGCCAGATACTCAAGCGCGAGAAACTTCCTGCTCGGTAGTTCGGCTTATTAGGACGTGGCAGTCTCAGATGATCTCGGTTTTTGACCAACTCTTTGAAACTGCTGCTAATTTCTCGAGAGTGGCAAATCACGCAAGTCCCTGTCGAACCCAGGAAGCTTCCATTGATGAATGCCGACAAATAACACTTCTTTAAATTCCTCCCGATCTCTGAGCTGGAGGGTTCACCACCTAAATGGCGTACCATTGCAGGAGGAAGACCCACAGAAAGACTTCGGTATGTGGGCAACGGTTTCTCTAAAACCGTCGCTCCACTGGTCCAAGGTAGCCAAGTCTGCGATGCCAGTCCTTTATCTTGTCAAGAGAGCTTTCTCTGCCCTTGATGATGACTGCTTCGTTAATGTCTTTCGAACTCTCGTAAGGCCACGGCTAGAGTTCGCTATTCGGGCGTGGAAACCCTGGACCTCTAGAGATCTCAACATCCTTGAGAAAGTTCAGAAGCGGACAGGCAAACTCGTAAGTGGACAGGGTTCACTACCCTATAAAATACGATTGTCCCATCTCGGTCCTTTCCACTGAGTTACACACATCTAAGAGGCGACCTTGTACAAACATTCCGTATACTGCGCGGCCAGGACTGCTGTTTCGTACCTGCTGATTTCTTTGAGATAGCGACCACAACGAAACTCCGAGTTCATCCACTTAAACTACGCGTAACTGGCGCCAAGCTGGACATTCGGAAGTTCTTCTTTTCAAACAGAGTGATCGAAACCTGTAATACACTGCCTACAGATGTCGTCATGTCCGCCTCCGTCGAGGCTTTTAAGCGCAAGTTGGACCAGTGTGCCATGAAACGTCATAATGTCACCTTACCGACAACGTCGAGCATTTCGTTCCCACAGTTTATTAGTGTTGTTATAGTACTGCATGTAGTCCAGTAATGTTTGGTTTTTATTATTGTCCCATTTCCTTAGAATAGGTCTTGGCATTTATATTCGTCTCCCTCAGAAAATTAGATAGCACCAACTATACATAGACAGGCAGCTGTACAGCACATCTACTAGCATTAATGTTTTTAACTCTTGGAACAATTCGTTTATCTCTCTGGATTCGAAACTTTGCCAATTTGAAAAAAGTCTGTAGCTGTTTGATGTTTACATTTTCAAATTTTTTATATAGTTCGTTTTCTTGTAACAAATAGGGAGTTCATAGGTTCAACACCTATATTTCCCTCAAAAAATAAACTGAAAAAAAAACCTACAAGGTTACACATCTTGTCGATACGAATCACCGAGTCGATGCCAAAGAAGCCTTTCAGGTTGTCTACCGGACACCAGCAAGCTTCCCAAGAGGCCTGCGCCAACGTGTGCTAGCTGCAGCAGAGACAGTGGCTATACGGCTAGCTAATCCAGTGCGATGTTTTCGGAAGACGTTGACGCAGGCTTTCTGTCTTCCCTGGCCAACGCCCACCACAGATGATGATTGCAGGTCGCCCCAACCTCCTGATGGCGGTGGTGTGCGCTCAACTTGCCCGACTTCCAAACATCACTCACAGACTATGTCACCCCTACCCTCGCCTCCTTGACCCAGTGACCATAAGACGCCGATCACGCCATAAGACGCCTCGCCATGTGAGCGTCGTGGGATCGATGAGTGTTAATAACCCCTGAATCCCTTATAACCCCTGTAACTTCCCATAGTTCAACTTATATGTAACTCCTTTGCCCTAATGGCGAGTTACCGAAAACACGTGTTTGCCAAATTGACTTTTCAATCGAAAAATTGTTTGTTGAAGCAAGCTTTGCACGCTAGCTTTAAATTCGCACCAGGGAATAATGCTTCAAAGTTCTAGGAAATTGCTTCATAAAGCAGAGAGCACTGATCAATTTAATAATACCTAGAACGTTCACTGACATAACAACCCCTGTTTTCATGTTGAAAAAGTCTTCTCCATCATCATGTGCTGCCTCACCATTCATAAAATGGGTATTTCTCTAAGGGACTCGACTAATCTTGATGATGGTATCTTTAAACTCAACAACGCACCTTGTGCACAAATACCTTTAATGACTCCGTCAGGAACCCCAGTAAATCAAAGCGAGTACCTAAATCAAAGACGAGTCTAAGTGCAATTTCGGCCTCTTTAATACGGGGTAAATCCAATAGTTCTTCGGAATCTTTCTCTCCACAATCACTTTCACTCCCTAAAACTCCATGGGCCAAAATACAGCGTGTGTCCAAGTACCCCTCAGAACTAAAATCGAGGCGTTTTAAGCCGAATATTCCGACATTCCCGTCTAAGAGTAGATTTTTCGCTCAAATCTAAGCAGTGCGTCCCCAACTCCCCTAATATGTCCCCTAAGAGGTCGTTTTATTGATGGAATCCCTGAGCAAACGTCTATACTGGGTGGGTTAAATCACACTCTCCGCAGTTTCAACTCGACAGGAATTCTTTTCAGTATCCTGCTTGTGGATTTCCAGTGGAAAATCGACCAGCTAATAATAGTAATCAGTTTCCGTTTCCGTTATTTTCTCCGCCAACTTTTACTTGTTTATCCACGTCGGAGCAAGCAAAGGAGAAAATACGCATGGAGGTTATCTGGACAAATAAAATGCTCCCTAACTTTCCGTACGAGATTTGTAATATCGCTCTTGGGAATTAAACATATACTTTACTTTACTCGTACTTGATACGGTTGCGATCATGCCTGATCTAGCCGGCCTCGATGATGTCCCGAACTGTACCTCTCCACGCGTGACGGTCCGCGGCAGCAGATCTAGACAGCTCAACCCATTCCCTTCGCCAACGACGGAGACCGAATACCGAAGGTCCAAGAACCATCTCCATGTCTTGACGGACAGTGCGAGCCAGGTTTTGAACTGACCCCCTCTTCGACGCCTCTAATGGGGTAACGGTGCCGGATCGAGGGCAATAACACTGAGCTCGTGAGGTGGACGACGAAGAACATGCCCGAACCACCTCAGTCGTCTTTCTTGAATGGCCTGAGTTATCCTTGCGATGTTGTGTCAGCGAGCGCGTACTGTCTCATTTGAGACGAAATCGGTGAACTTCATTCTAAGGATAGTCCTCAAGCAGTGGTGGTCAACTACCTCCCGTTTTCGCTCGTCCTCCACGCGCAAAGCCCAGCATTCACAACCGTAGAGAAGGACAGACCGGACAGATGCACGGTACACGCGAATCTTAGTGGCAATGGAGAGATCACGTCGGTTCCACAGGCATTTCCGGAGGCTTGAAAAAACGCAGCGCGCAGCATCGATTCGGGAGACAATGTCGTCCTTACTCTGTCCATTAGGCAGCAGACTCGCCCCGAGGTATTTAAAACTGTCCACTTCTTCAAGTTGACAGCCATTAATCCCTAGGGGTGCCTTCTCCTGGTCAAGGATGCAGCTTGAGAATACTTTGGTCTTCCCAGCGGTTATGGACAAACCGACTGATTTAGCGACCTCGTTCACTCGTGACACCATAGACTGCAGATCACCAAAACTTGAAGCAAGTAAGGCGATATCATCGGCATAGTCGAGATCAGTCAGTCGATGTCGGGGTGCAAAATTCAACGCCGTCACTGTCGCGTAGGGCCCTCCCGAGGATCCAGTCAATAGCGTAGTTGAACAGTATGGGTGACAGGATACAACCCTGTCGGACGCCAGACCGAATACCGAACGGTTGGGAAAGATTGTTACGGACCGGTACTCTCGCAGGAGTGAAGCGACAGTAGGCCTTGATCATGGCGATGATTTTTGCCGGTACACCATCTAGCGCCAATAACCGCTACAGGGACTCACGGTGAACGGAGTCGAACGCGACGGCAAATTCGACGAAGCAGACGGCCGTCGGTTGTTGGTAGCTATGGCGAAATTCGAGAATGCGCCTCAGTGTGAATATCTGACCTGCGCATCCACGTCCAGCACGAAATCCGGCTTGGTTGGGCCTCGTCCTTGAGTCACTCACATCCTGGAATCGCCTGAGTAGGACAATAGCGAAGATCTTCGCAGCAACGTCGATGCGACTTATGCCGCGGTAGTTCTCGCATCTCGTCTTATCTCCCTTCGTGAGGATAGGTACAAGGATGCCTAAGCTCCAGTCATGAGGAACAACCTCGTCTCTCCACGCTCGTTCAATCACCTCATAGAGCCAGGGCGCCAGATTGTCGACACAAGACATGAAGGTTTCAGTGTGCATATCGTTCTCTCCGGGTGCCTTATTGTTGCGCCACTTTCATATGGCATCGGCGACTTCCTCCTCGGAGGGGGGATCGCATGGCACTGCATAGGTAGGAGAGGGAAGAAACTCCACTGAGGAGGAGAGCAAGGGCGATGTATGTTGGGTATCGAAGTTGAGATGGTGCTCAAAGTGCTCACGCCAGCGCTCGACTTTGGCCGAGTTGTCAGCAATAATGCCGCCGTTCACGTCGCGAACAGAGTCACTCAGTGTAGAGGGCTTACCGCTAACTTGGTGGATCAGACGGTAGAGCTTTCGAGTGTCACCAACGTTCGAGGCCTGTTCCATGGATGTCGCTATTTCAGCTCAATATTGCTTTCGGTCATCCCTGGCCGATTTTGCCGTCATCTTCCGGAGTTGGCGGAAGTAGTCATCGTTTCGGGAACTGGCTCTAGCCGTCTGAGCAGACAACTGCAGGGTTCTTCCGCTGATCCAGTCACTGCGGCGTCGCTGGGTGTATCGAAGGATTTTCTCAGCTGCACCATAGACTGATGTCTCCAGTGACGACCACTGGTTACTGACTTCTCCGTCGGCTCGGGTAGTAAAACAGGTCCGGATTTCTCGGCTTAGGTCCTCGGCAGTGCTGGCTTGCCGGATTTTTGCGACATTGAGGTGTCTAGGACGTGGCATTTTTGGTGCGGATGAGAGGTGAACTTTCAGGCGTGTACAGACGAGGACATGGTCCGACCCATGGGCGCTACCAGTCTCGGCATCACGCATCGATCTGCTATTATGAACCCAGCTGCGGAACCTTGAGCTGACTAGTATGCAGTCAATCTGACTGGCCGTACGACCGTCGTTTGAATACCAGGTCAGCAGATGTTTTTTTGCGATGCTGGAAACATGTGTTGGTGACAAGCAGTCGGTTTCGATCAGCGAAGTTCAGCAATCTCTCGCCATTTTCACACCGGGAACCAAGCCCAAAGCGGTTGTGGGGTCGCGAGGTCCAGTTCGATCATTCCAATTGCCAGCAACAATCAGCAGATCGCGGCGAGGCAGTCTTTCAACTAGCGCTTGCAACTGAGAGTAAAACGCCTCGTTATTGCGCTGCTCGGCAGCCGAAGTTGGTGCGTACAGAGCGACGATGGAGATGTTCGTGAAGTGACCCTTCAGTCGCACGTAGGCCATCCGGTCATTGACTGGTTCCCAAGCAAGTAGCGCGAGGTCCGCTTGTTGTGATAGGGCGATCGCCATACCATGTCGACCAGAGGAATCGCGGGGCCGCTGCAGTACAGGGTGAAGTGTGATTCGACTCCCAGGATCTTTATTTCACGGGAACCTGAGTCAGGAAGTCGTACCTCAGACAGACAGCAGACATCCACGTTGTACTGATGAAGGCTGTGTGCGGTCAGACTTTGGGTACCAGGGTCCAGGAACGCTCGTACATTCCAGCATCCAGTACTGAGAGTCCGTCCACGATTGTGTAGTCCAGCTCACATACTATTCGTCCGCACCACTGGACCAGGGTTGCGGAGCGCGTCGGTTCCCGCGGACGGCGTAGCATGGTTTGGACATGTGATTGGACATGTTTCGTGAGGTTTTTTGAGAATTTCGAATACGGGCGGGTCCCCAACAGCCGCTCGGATTGTTTGTTCGAAGATGTCTCCTCTAGCGCTTTGGCTTAAAAACCTAACCAAAAGGCAGCGGTGGCTAGTAAACTTATTTAATGGCGGTTTACGGTCGCCGTGTCACAGTGCCGTCATTGGGTTTCGCGGCATTTTATAAGGCTTTCAGCGTGCCAGACTTCAGCCCACCGCACCCTGGTAGCAATGTCGCTGCTGGTCCGCGACTGCTTATTCGTCAGACCTGGGTCTGCTTATTTCGCAGCTAACCTTCACTGAAGGTTGTCCCACTATCCGCCACCCGTGGACGCGCCGAGTAGCCAGCAGCTGGGCTAACGGGTAACCCGTCTTCCCAGAATTAAATATATCCCACTTTGTCAAAGAGATCACTCATTCTACCTATCCGAAAGCCCGACCAATCTGCGTCATTCGATGACTTTCGACCAATAACCATTCTCCAGCTTTTTCTCCGATCTTAGAGGCACTGTTAAAAGACAACATGTGTCATATCGCAAGCAGTAATCTACTGAACGCTCCACAGCATGGATTCCTTAAACACGGCCATGTGACACCTGCCAGCTCTCTTGATTTGATCGTGTTCTCCAATATAAGGACAATACGTTCTCACTTTGTACAGTCGATTTCGATTCCGTTAAGGCTTCAATAATAACATTTGTATATAATTACAGTTTACAGGCAATGTCGGGGAATGATTAATCACATATCCGACCAACAGGGAAAAAACTCCTGATAAAAAAAATAAAGCGAACGGTAGTTTTCTATAGTTTAGGGGTTTAGGAGAACAAACTGCTGTCCATGAGATGATGACGGCCAAGAAATGGAGTAGTAGCACTGATCCTGCCGACCATGTACATATTCTCTTGAAACCTCCCTCTTTTGGAATAGCTGGTAAACTTCCGAACTTGATATCCTCTTACTCGAATGATCTTACCCAACGAATTATGAGTTCTAATATTATCTCCAACCCCGCACGTGTAAGGAGTGGAAGCATTCAGGGTGGTGTACTTGACCCGCTATTATTTTGCCTTTTCGTCAACGATGTACCAAATTTATTTCGGAATAGTAAGTCTCTTATGTACGCCGATGATTTGAGCGTTGCATATCGATATAAGCCTGCCTATGGCGGCATCGTGCTTGAACTCCTATAGAGTGACCCACAGGCCTTCGCCCAGTGGTGCTGCACATGCACCTTTCTCCTTTCTTGGCATAAATGCTCAGTCATGGTGGTTGGTGATGACCATGAACCCCAACTAATTATTGGCGACCATGACATAAATGTGCCTAAAGTTATCAGGGATCTGGGTGTACCATATCCCAAGAGTCTTAATCTTTCGAACACTGCGTCCCGATGGTCTTTAAAGCATACAGAACGACCGGGTTTTTTCTACGAAATTTGATAGCTAGCGTGATGGGACTGCTTTGATGGGACCCCGATGGGTCTTTAATAAAAAATTATTTGTTATTTGAATGCGCTTTTACAAAATGCACGTCGGACCTGGCCTGGAATAGTGTTCGTTTTTTATCATCATGCCTTCAATGAGCGCAAGAAAATTGAATTTGTCCAACATTTCTGCCAAGAGAGTTTTAATCTCGGAACGCTGAAATGTAACTTACCAAGAACGTTGTGGACTTGCAGGCTTTGATCCTTTGTAGTTTCGCCAATTATAAAGATATTTAATCTTGCTCTTGAAAGTGAAACTTATCCTACCTTGTGGAAGGAATCACACATTTTGCCCATTCCTAGGCACGGCAAATCTACATCATTTGATGATTTTCGGCCAATAAACACCCTCCCCGCAGTTTCGAAGAGCTTAGAGACATTGACCAAGGATAAGATGATGTGTCACTTAGCGGCGAATAACTTACTGAGTGCTGCTCAGCATGGATTCCTCAAAGCTCGATCTTGTGACACCTGTCAACTCTCTTTCTTTGACTATGTTCTCCAATCTAGGGACCATGGCTTTGCTCTTTACACAGTATATTTCGATTTCACTAAGGCTTTTGACCGTGTTGACCATGCTCTTCTTCTCTTGAAATTGTCCTCTTTCGGAATAGGTGGCAAACTTTTGAATTTTATATCCTCTTATTTGGGCACTCGCACACAACGAGTTAAGATTTCCAATACTATCTCCAATCCCACATGTGTGAGGAGTGGAGTCATTCAGGATAGTGTACTCGGCCCGCTTTTATTTTGCCTTTTCGTTAATGATGTACCCGATTTATTTCAGAATGGTAAGCCTTTCATGTATGCCGATGATCTTAAAGTTGCATATCGATATAGGCCGGCAGATCATGACATCGTGCATGAGCTCCTAAAGAGCGATCTACAGGCTTTCGCCCAGTGGTGCCGCACATGGCGCCTTTCTCTTTCTTGGCATAAGTGCTCAGTCATCGTGGTTGGCGATGACCGCCAACCTCAACTAAGTATTGAAGGTCACGCCATAAATGTGCCTGGGGTTATTAAGGATCTGGGCGTATCATACTCCAAGAGTTTCAATCTCTCGGAGCACTGTGCCTTGATAGTCTCCAAAGCACGTAGAACGACCGGGTTTATCCTCCGAAATTTTAAAACTAGGGACATTAGAATGCGCCTTTTCAACATGTACGTTAAACCTGGTCTGGAATACTGTTCGTTTTCATTTAGCCTCATGCGTGCTACTGAGCGGAAGAAAATAGAATCCGTTCAACACTTTTTTACCAAGAGAATTTTAACCCCCGAACACCGACAGTTGTCTTACCAAGAACGTTGCCGGCTTACAGGCCTTGATCCTTTATGGTTCCGTAGATTACAAAAGGGATTATTTTTGCTATTTAAACTCTTATATAATCACACATTTAACCCACTCACCTCTTTAAGACATCATATCCACCCACGACGTAACAGTCACCGTGAGGTCTTCTTATTTCTTCCTCTGGCACGTACTGTTAAATATCGTCGGTTCTTTTCTGTAAATGCAATTGCTATTTGGAATAAACTACCCATGAGTGTGAAAACTCTGCAAAATTTTCCTTTATTTAAGAGAACTATTACTCGATTTTTGCGTTCAGAAAAGCTCCCACAAATTTTGGGTGCTGAATCTACTGACCGACTGTACCGTAGCGATGGCGTTTGTGGCCTCTGAACACTATGGCCGGTCTCACCAGCTGTTCCTCAACGCCTCTACTTTGACTATCCCCAACTTCATGAAAGGAATTTGACGTCCGATAATCTCCGATACCGTGCAACCTCCCCCCTTCTTGACGGTCGATATTCTACCACCGCCGGCAGATTTTTCTCCTGAGCCCTCCAAACCATAAACCCACCATCAACTATATTTTTATGCCTTAAGCTCAGGAGTTTTTTTTTTCACTGCTGGTCGGATTTGTGTTTAATCGCTTCCCTTGACAATGCCTGTAAACTGGTATTAAATAAAAAAATTATTGATTTATAAGAGGGACTATTTTTACCGTTCACGCTTTCAAGCAGTCGCACTTTTAACCCACTTCCTACATTGAAACATTTTGAACACCTCCTACAGAACAGTCATCATGTAGTCTTTTTTATTTCTTAATCTGGCACGTGCCGTTAAATATCCTCGTTTCTTTTTTGTGAACACCATTGCAATTTGGGACAAGTTACCCAGGAATGTGAAAATTCTGCCAAATTATTTTTGTTTAAAATAACTATATACGCGTTTTCCCAATAAGAAAAGCTCTCACAAATTTTGGGTGAGGAGTTCACCGATTCCATTTACCGTAATGACGGAGTTCATGGTCTGTGGCCCCCTACTCGGTCTTATTCCGGGAGAAATGGCGCTGCCTCTACAACCCACAGCAGTAAGGACAATATTTTCAACCGACAGGGCCATTGTTCTTCCACGCACTTTGTTTGCTCCACTCCCAATTTAATGAAGGGGAATAGAGATTAAAAATATCCTGTGCAGTCCTAACCATTCCTTCCTGCACTGACGTGATTTCAAGGGCAGCAGTTTTTTCTCTTGAGCCAGCCAAACTATCCAGAAACACCATCTCCTAGATTAACTTCTCAGGGTTATTCTTCGCTGATTGCCCGATTCGTGCTTAATCTCTTTTTGACAGGGCCTGCAAAATGGCACTAAGTACAATTATTATTATTACTATTATTATTATTAAAGTAATATTCGCTATGAAAAAAATGAATAAAGTATGCTTTGACTTTGGGGACAATCAATGGCGCATATGTAATATTCCTCACGAATAATCGAACGATAGCTCACAAGCTCGATGCAGTGTTATCAGTAAATAAAACCAGTGGGGGAACAAAACTGATTTTTAATACGTCAAATTACCTGACAGTGGAGAATGCCAGCTAAATGGGGGTTGTCCTGAAGAGCTCTGTCTGTCGCGTTAAAAAAGCAATACAGCAAAAGAGAACGTGGCGAGATAGTCAACGGTGAATTATTCCGCTACATCTACAGACCTCCAACATCA